TTTTAAGATACAAGGTCTCACGATGTTGCCCAGGCTGGCCTCAAATTCCTGGGCTCAAGTGATCCTCTCACCTCCTTTCCACATAGCTTGTACTACAGATGTATGCCACCACACCCAGCCCAAAAGATGTTTAGGGATAAAAGTCCCTTCCATCCCACCCACATAAGGCCCTATATGGCCTATGATTGCTTAACTTAGTTGTTGTAGAAATAATTACAACAAAAAAATCACTCACATCTAAGAATCAAAAGGGCTGAGAAGATGGAAACAGGTACAAGGGGTGGGTAAGTTTAGTGTGGTGGAACAAGCACTAAACTTAGAGTCAGGAAAACTGGGTCTTATCTAATTCCTGCTACTTCTCAGCTGTGTGACTGAAGACAAATCATTCAGCTTCCTAATTTCAGCAACTATTACAACTATCGTTAGCACTGGTTGAGGCCTTACTGTGAACCAGACACATATATTTATTTACCAAAAACAACACTATGAGGAAACCAAGACACAGAGAACTTTAACTGACATATCCAAGGTCATATGCTCAGTAAAATCAGAATGAAAAACCAAGCTGACTCCAGAGGCCACGCTCCTAACCAATACATTACATTTTCTCTATAGAATAAAGAAATTATTATTTCCTGAGGTGGCTGACACATGGATGAAGAAAGCCAAAGGCATTTACTGCCTTTTATTAACTACTTTTTATAGGGTCACAGTCATTAGGGGAATGAGAGAGTTGGAGGGGAGGGATGACAACACAGTGGTAAGTGACTGTACTTCTATACTTTGCAAAGCCCTGCCTCTACCTACTCTATTACTCAAAACCTACTAACCTGTGAGGCAGGAGAACTATGTAATATTATTATACCAATTTTACAGAAGAGACAGTAGCTCAAGGAAGTTAGGAGGCTGGGCATCATCACATAGCAAATTATCTACAGAATGAGCATAAAATCCCCCCAAATAGAAGCCCCTGGCCTTTGCCTTGTGCCATTCCACAGACTGGTACCCCTCTATATAACTGCTCATGTAGTTGCCAGCCAATATGAAGAGGACCAGTTTGCTTACAAGGGAGAGTAGGTAATTTGCTCATCTCTCCTGAGAGAGGAATCTCTCATCACCCTCAGTGTGCGCAGTCCACAGTGGGACAGAATCTACTTGGCCAGGAGCCCTGGATGTTGGTGCTATCTGAGGTTGGGGAGAGGGGCAGGAGAGTGCAGAGACAGACTGCCCGCTCTGATCCTTATACCTGCCTCTTCAGAAGCTTGAGAGCAGTGATTCCTGGAAATAGCGAACCGGCTCTTACCAAGCCATTTCCATCCCCAGTCACTAGTGGTCCTCCCAATCGTATAAAGGTCCTTTGACTGATGCCATTTTCAGCCCGCAACTTCTGGTGACCACGATCTCACACATTCCAAATAATTCACATCTATTAAACAGCTGCCTTTTTTCCCCTCTCTCTTTACAGACTGATCCAGAACACCAAAAATCTGATACACATTGAGCCGGGAGCATTTACAAATCTTCCCCGATTAAAATACTTGTGAGAAATTTTCCTTTTTAAGCAACTGGGGAGGAAAAGATGGGCATCTCATGAAAATCAAAACAAGGAAGAGGTTGGGAAGATTTTGTTTATCACATACATAGCACTATTTGCATGTTCCTCTTTAGCCTTCTGATTTAAATTTAATTGGCATTTCTTGTCAACCACCATGCTGGGTGCTTTTGCATACAAGTAAGTGATTCCCAACATTTTATCTGTCCTATACATCTGAGAAGAACATCACTCCTTTGCAATAATTTTCGGCATTGACAATGAGCATGGGAGATGGAGGTCACAACATTTTAAGAAGGGTAAATCAGAATCTCTAAGGTGAATAGAGAGTAGGTGAAAGGGAAAGTGGCAATTCTGATTTGACTCCTATCACTGGTTGAGAATTACTGATCTCCTTTATCTCATTTTTTTCATTTGTTCACTAAATAAAAACTTTTTAAGTATTGCCTTAAGGTAGACATTGTGCCATGTAAACTCAATCATTATTTTCTACTTCCCATTAACTCTATCAGTTAACATTAGAAATTGAGTTCCACTGTAGCCTGCCACAATCATTGCCTTGGCCAGCAGTACCAAAATTCCTGAAATCTATGAATTTATCACTATGGATCTTCTCACATATCAAGTCATCCCTATTTGCAAAGAAAAATTTAAGTCCCCCTAACACAGACATCCTTTCTTTCTTCTTAAATTTCATAAACTCTTCAGAGAATGTAAAGCCCACCTCCCATCACTGACCAGAAAATAGGAAAACAGAGAGAAGGGATATCTCTCTGCTATTTCACGTCATCAGTCTTGCTCTCAGCCCTCCTACAAAGCTGCTACTGGAACTGGCATAGTTCCTTTGTTAATTCCAACACTGAACAATTCCAGACTCAGGTGCTCTGCTTTCTCAAACCTTCAGGGTGTCTAGAGGGGACATAAGCATACTATAGCATCAACTACTTTGGAAAAAAACAAAAGAAAACCCCAGAACCAAATTTGGCCACTTATTATCTAAGAATCATTGTCTTCATTAAATAGTATTTTAATCCAAAACTGTGATATTCTCCTAACCCAAGTACACATTGCAGTCTAATCCCACACTGCTATCCCCAGCTGTAGATAGAGCAGAGATCCAGTATGACCTGGGCTTTTGGATAAGGAGGACAAAAAGAGAAAGCCAGAAGAGAAACCTGGCTTTGTTTCATTGTCACCAGGATGGCAGACAGTTCACATCAGTTGTCCAGAGCCCATGACTGGTGAATCTAAAACTCGGTGGAAATCCAGATGCATAGACTCTGAAGGAACCCCATTCTTGTAATAAAATATTTTTCAGTTTCACCTGTCACTTAAGCCTCTCTCCTCTTCAGAGGCTAAATAAAAGGTGGGATGAAAAGAAGAGCCTTGAATAGTTCCAAACACCAGAAGAATGTTTAATGATTTCAATGAGATGCAAAGAAGAACTTCCTGAATTGTAATGTAGTTAAATAAGGGAAATTTTTAATAATGAAAAATATGGATTTCTAAGATTAATCTTCTTGAAGTATTTGAATCAAAATCTGCTCCAAATTTAAGGATACTTTCTAGAGCTATCAAGAGCATGTAATAAACTAATTACCAAAAGGAAATGGAATACAATACAGTAGGAAAATGTGATTGATTTAATAAGAAAAGAAAGGCTGGAAATATAAATGAAAAAGACCTTTAAGTTTGGTCCCAGTCCCCAGGTATCTAAATAGGAGTCATTAGAGCATCTTTCCCCATAGCATCAGGGACTTCTGAATTCCAACAATGTTTCTCAGCTAAAAGTAGTCCTGATAATGCCAAACTCAGTATTTTTAAATTTAATGTGACAATTGTATTTGCTAAGTGCCTTTCTACTCCCTTGTTATCTTTATGTCTTAATAACAATCTCTTTTACCCACTGTCTCCCCACACCACTACCCTGTCCCTAATCACAGAAGCATCTGTAACACAGGCATCAGAAAGTTTCCAGATGTTACGAAGATCTTCTCCTCTGAAATTAATTTCATTCTGTAAGTAACAGGCTGATTGCTATGCATAACAGTTTCCTATTTGCAGCTAAAATTAGGAAAGTAAATATTTCTCATTTCTTTCCTCAAGGGAAATTTGTGATAACTTACACATAACCACCATACCAGGAAATGCTTTTCAAGGGATGAATAATGAATCCATAACACTGTGAGTAAACTCCCAGATTCATGTTCTGCCATACAGCCTCGTGCTATTCTCACTACTAGGTTGAGGTGAGCTCTTTCTCGTGTTTTACCACATTCCTCACTCACTGGTGACATTCTACTTGACCTAAAATGCTAAGGGTGAAGTGAGTTGTATAAGATCACAGCTGGGTCATATGTTCACATGACAACCAACCAACCAATTCAGTTTAAACTTAACCAAACAGACCCTAAGGATTTTTAGTGACTGAGTTTCAAACTTACGAAATTGTTCACTGCATTAATGAAAAATGCTCCAAGACTGGGAAGGGACAGTCTAGAGAGGAGTGGCTTTCCTGGCTGAAAAAGAGCACAGAAATGTCAAGATTTCAATGGAGGAGAGTTTGGAAGGATATTCTCCAAGTAGGAAAAGTAGTGGATCAAGTGACCTTGCTCTGTCTCTCTCCTTTTCGCCTTCCTCTTGGGTCCCTCTCACTTTGTTTCTGAACACTATCTATGCTCATTCTCTGTATCCCTTAATACTTAAAAATAATGTGTTTTTATCTGACAGTTACTCATCAGTTATCAGGGTATCCCTTTCATGGTGTTTCCTAAGGTCTCACTATTCAAAGTATGGTCCGTGAACCATCATCTTTAGCATATTCTGAGAGCTGTCTTGCATTGCTATAAAGAACTACCTGAGACTGGGTAATTTATAAAGAAAAGAGTTTAATTGGCTCACAATTCTACAGGCTTTGCAGGAAGCATGATGATGGTATCTGCTCATCTTCTGGGGAGGTCTCAGGGAACTTACAATCCTGATGGAAGGTGAAGGGGGAGCAAGGAGCTCACATGGCCAGGAGCAGTAGAAAGAGAGAGAGCAGGGAGGTGTCACACTCTTTCAAACAACCAGATCTCATGAGAACTCTATGATGAGAACAAAACTAGAGGGATGGTGCTAAACCACTCATGAGAAATCACCCCCATGATCCAGTCACCTCCCACCAGGCCCCACCTCCAACATTAAGGATTATGATTTGCAATGAGATTGGGTGGAAACACAGATCTAAACTGTATCCTCTGGTTATAAATAGCTCACTGCAGACCTACTAACTCAGAATATGCTTTTTACAAGATTCCAAGTGATTCACATGTACATTAAAGTTTAAGGAGCACTGCACTAAGGTAACTCAATCCATGTTCTTCACAGTACACTTGTCTGACTTCCTTCCCTCTGGAATCCCTGCCATATATCTTCACATGGGAGCCTTCCACTGCCCCACCATTCAGAAGCAGTATCCTGGGCACAGTGTCTCATGTATTTATTTATTTATTTATTTATTTATTTATTGAGATGGAGCCTCACTCTGTCACTAGGCTGCAGTGCAGTAGTGAGATCTTGCAACCTCACTAGGCTCACTGCAACCTCCACCTCCTGGATTCAAGCAATTCTCCTGTCTCAGCCTCCCCAGTAGCTGGAACTACAGGCACACACCACCACACCCAGCTAATTTTGTATTTTTAGTAAAGACAGGGTTTCACCATGTTGGCCAGGATGGTCTCAATCTCTTGACTTCATGATCTGCCCACCTCAACCCTCCAAAGTGCTGGAATTACAGGCATGAGCCACAGTGCGTGGCCTCATTTCTTTATACCTAAAGCCCATTGACCGTTATTTAATTCTGTTCCTCAAATCCATATCCCTCTCACTCTTTCTGCTTTGGTTACAGCCCATGGCAAAATTGTGATGAGGCAATAAAGGAGCTAACCCTTAAAGAAAAGAGAAAGAACATGGATTGGAATGACTCTGAAATGAAGAGATAGATGTGAAACAAAAGAAGAGACCATCTCAGAGGACTCTCTTTTATATCACTGGATTCTAAAAATTTGTATCCATAGTACACTGCCTTTGTATAGTACTTTTATTTTGCATAGGTATAATTTTACATGTATAATTGTCATGTTACAAAGCTGAGACCATGCAGCTTCAGCTCAGATTACTGCAATCAAAAGAATACAGAGCAGCAACCACAAATAATTTCAAAATAACCCATATTCTTTACATGTAACTCTTGAACAAAGGGAAGGAGACCCTGTTGATCCTAGAAATATTTCTCAACAGTCTTTCTACCCCTGCCACTTCCCTCACACACCACAGCTCTACCAGCTGTTTATAAAGTGTTTTCAACTAACCACTGCATAATGGATCTGGAACCACTCATTCATCATGTCCCCCACCAAAAACAAGGTATTCACCAACCAAACTCTGAATGAGGTGATATCACATGCCTTAGGATTTGGGATCTTTCATATCTATATTGAGAACACAAAAGACATAGGATTAGATTCATGTCCTGGAGAAGTTCATAATCTCTATGAGGGGAAAAACATGAAAGAATGAAAGGATAATACAAGCTAGTAGATATTCACTATGAGAGTGTGTAGTACCTAGAAATAAGATCTTAGAGAAGTCCTCTTGGGCTGGGAAAGTCAGAAGAGGCTTCATAGTGGAGCTGATACACTTGAATTAGACCTCATAGAATCAGTAACATTTATATGGGTAAATGTGATAATAGCAGCTAAAATTTATGTAGCCCTTATTAAATACCTGCACTGTTTTTAAGTACTTTTTAAGTCTCATAGCAACCTTATGAGGTAGGAACTGTCGACCTTACTTTTAGATGAGGAGATTAAGGCACCAAGAGGTTAAGTATCACTATCCCAGGCCAAGATTTGGACCCAGGCAGTCTGGCTCCAGAGTCATGTTCTTAACCATTATGTGGTGCCACATGCAGAGAAAGGCATGTTCTCTCTCTTGGAAGGAATCCAAGTGAAAAGACAGCAGGAGCAAAAGCATGGGAGGAGGAGAACAGAGTGAGGCTTACTTCTTGGGTGTAAACATGCTGCTTAAGGAACAGAAAGTAAGTTTAGATAACTGGCTGAGATGGAGAGGACATTGAATTGCAGGGACTCTTAAATGCCAGGACAAGGGGACAGGCTTGGAAGTAATGCTGAAAAACAGTAATAAAAGAATCCACCCAATAAAGTAGCCTTTATTCAAAGATCACAAATATCCACAACTCTCTTCGATTTTGACCTAAATCTAAAAATAATCAGGGACCAATAGGTACTCCTCCCAAGTAAACGTACAATGATTGGAGCGAAGTGAAGTAAGAATGAAAGGGCAGAAGACATGGAGGAGGGTGAAGAAGAAAATGAATGTTGGGATAATCCATAGGTAACTATGAGCTCACACAACTGGGCCACCCCACCAGATTCAAGGAGTAACCAAAGATTCCTTCTCACACATCATACTTCAGAATGTACACAGAGAGCTTCACAGTTTTCTTGTGACAGGGCCATTAACTTACGTTGGTCATGATTTTAAGAACAATAGTGCATGCCTATAGGGTGTAATTGCCCCACTCCGAAGTTAATAAAGATTTAGGCTCCGTGTCTCACGGAGAGCCTGTGGGACATTGTAGTTCCATCCCCCTTCTCATTCTTGGCCCTTCATCTGGAAGGGGAGTGATTAGTCACTTGCCTGGCACTTGTTGTCTGCTGAATGGACCCTTCTATAAGCAAAGGATCATGTGGAGCACGCTGCTGGAAAAAGGGTATTACACTTAGAGAGGAAAGCCTTCTTTTCTCAGCTATAAAGTTCAACTCTCTAATTAGAAAATAATGAAAGCAAGCCTCCTCTTTTCATTATTAGTGGTACTTGAGATTTTGCTTTTTGTAGAACCTGTCTTGCCCTCCCCTTACCCAAATCTTTACCAACTGTGAGGTCATTTAATGAAAACAAGTGAAGTCACTTGGTGCTGGAGAAACTCAGTGGGGCTAATGCTAAAACTATGCATTATGCTCTTATGTCCCTTCATAGCCACTTTGGTTGTTTATTAAATCTCCTCAAGAGGCCACCGTGAAATGCCCCTCCTCCCCAAATAAGCAGGATTTAGCTACACTACCTTCAAAATACTCCACATGATTGGTCATACCAGTCTCAGAAAAAGAGACAATCTTGATTCACATCTTAACTCCACAAAGAAAAGGAAAGGTCATGGCAATTAATTTTCTAAGACCCTACAGAGAAGTGATATCTGGAAAGGCACGATGATTCCAGGCTGTACCCATGACAAGCCACAGCACAGAGGCTGCTGGTTCTCTCTACTGTGTTGAAATTGGAATCCTGGGCTTCAGTCCTGGCTCTGTGTCTGACCAGCCAAGCAGCCTTAGTCAGGTCAGAGTCTGACATACTCACTTTGACATGCCTCTGTCTCTGCCTGTTCCATGGGATTACTACCTCCTTGTGTGAATCAAATCACTTTGTGTCAACTATACAATCACCACAATTTCACAGTTAAAGGCTCATACATAGCAACCTGAAGCAGGCCAGTTGTTTTAGACCATCTTGAAAATATCACATCTCATCATCTCCTTTTAAATGTTTTTTTTTAATTTTTAACTTACAAATTGAGGCACTTTCCATTTGTCTTTTCATTGACAAATGGAAAGAACAGTATGATGAACACCCCTATACACCTTATGTAGATTCATTAAATATTAGCAGCTTGCCACACCCCCTCCATCTCTTTGTATGTGAGTATATACCACTCACTACCCTTTAGCCAAGCCATCCAAAAGAAGTTTATAGACATCATGACATTTCATCCCTAAATACTTGAGCATTATCTCCCTAAAACATGGACATTCTATGTAACTACAGTGCCGTCACACCTAAGAAAATCAACATGAATGTAATAATATTATCTAACCTATAGTCCATATTCAAATGAAAATGTCTTTTATAGATTTTTTTAAAACAATCAAAGTTTATGCATTGCATTTTTGCTGTTATTTCCCTTTGTCCTCCCAACGTCACCTCCCACATCTCCCGAACTGTCCTGCTTCCTTTCTCTGTTCTGTATGACATAGGATTCTTTGAAAAGCCCAAGACAGTTGTCGGGATTCAGCTGACTATATTGCCATGACTAGACTCAGGTCAAATATTTCTACGAGAACACTGCAAAGGGGTGCTGTGTCTCTCCCACTACATCAAACCAGGAAGTACATTATGCCCCACTGTCCCACTACTTGGCTGCTTGGTTAAGGCAGTGACTGCCAGAGCTCTATTGTAAGAGCACATTTTCCTCTGTCATTACTAAGTAAACTGTAGTAGTACACTTTGAGTTTCTGTGACTAGTCAGTTGGCCAACAAATTTTCATCCAATGGTTTCAGCCTCCATTGATTATTCAGTTGTTACAAAGGGAGTTACAACACGGTAGTTTTTACATGCTATCATTCTTCTACGTTTATTAGCCAACAACCTTCTGCAAAGAAGATGCCTCCCTTTTTCCCCTTTTCCTCGTTCTCTCTTGGTCTGTCACTTTTTGAGTATCACTATAGAATGTGGATTTTTCAAAAAGCTTATTCAGCATATTAGAATCCTTTAGTGTTATCATTCTTTCTGATGCCTGTTACTCTTTTTATTATTACATACAGTAAAGTCATATAAGTTGACATAAACATGGCTGAGGTAGCAGGAAACATGAAAACTCAGTGCTTCTGAGAGGCAGGAGGCACAGCCATATGGGGAGAGGGATCCCTTGCTATAGAGACTGTGAGCCCCTAGAAATGGGGGGGCTCTGATTCATGACTAGGGTTACAGCAGCATATAGACAGTTACTCATTTAACCACTGCCAGCACATCCACTAGAGAAGTGTCTTCATACATGAGAAATTATTCAGCTGTAAAAGGACTTCAGTAAAGTTCCATACAGGGAAAGTGAATTTAGGATTCCCTTTCTTTATAATGCTGTTTGTATAGTCATTTGATAAAAATTTGCTTACAAATATACCACCATATTTTCCAAAAGATATTTTCTAAATGGTATGCTTTGCCTTTCAGCAATGGGGCTGCTTTTTTGAGACCCTGAGTATCTGTAAACATAAATTAAGCTTTCTTCTTTGAAATCATCCAGAAACCAAGTGATCCCAAAGGAAACTATAGAAGAATGCCTGATATTGTTCATATTAGAACCCCAGAAATGCTTTTAGAGCCCCAGGAATATTTGGAGTTCATTATAAAGCACCATTCAGACCCAAAGTATCATCTGTGATTAATATCTACAGCCCAAATCTTATTTTGAACAAAAAGGTGCCATTCTGTCTGTTTGATTCATAATTACTGGCAGTTGAGTAAAGAGCCTAGACGATGCTTTCAAGTTAGGTATAGCTATTGTAATAGAGGAGAAGTTGGGGGAAGTGAAAATCTTCATTTTTGTGCCTGTGACAAAATCCTCAAAGTAAAGCAAAGGAAGCCCTCCTTATTTAATTCTGACAGCATGATGTTTTGGAAAAAATTTATCTGAAGTGACTCTCCAGATGTTTTTTTAAGGGCATTAAAAGCATTGTTCAAGTCTGACAGTATGAGGTCTCCCACTCAGATTTGTAATTTCTCCAAAGTAAGGAAGCTTCTTTTTTAATCAAAACAAGGCAGTGCATTCTATTGTGTGTGACTGGTAAGAACAGGGACAAGAGCAACTGAAACAGTGGGCCACATTGTTTGGAAAGTTGAGACAAGCAGGACTCAAAAAAAAAAAAAGACACAGAAAATGTCTAAAGGCCAAAAAGTCCATGATGCTAGCACAGATTCTTTAGTGTGTGAGCATATCTGGGCAGCCCAAGCCACTGACCTGACTTGCTCTACCCAGAAAGAGAAAGACCCCCTACCTCAGTAGAGAAAGATGATAGTTCAGTTAAACAAGATGCCTATATTTGATAGAAATCCTGTCCAGAGCTTGGAAAGGGAGACCCTTTCCCTCGGCTGGAGGCTACTGCAAAATATAATAATAATTATAGGACCAACACATTAAGCATTTATTGTGTTTCAGAACCTACTTATAAGTGCTTAACATGTATTTACATTTTTAGTCCTTATAATAGCTTTATGAGGTTGATACTATTATTATATTTTCAGATTAGAAAATTAAGCCACAGAGAAGGTAAGTAATTTGCCCCAAGTAATTCAGATTGTAAGTAGCAGAGCCGGGATTCAAGCAATTGGGTTCAGTGCCTGTAGATTTAACCACAAGGGCCCATTTACAGCAATGACATTGTTAGTGTAACAGAAAAGCATAAAATCCTAACATGTATCAAAACAAGGATCGGGGCAACATGCAACCATGAAGGGTAATGGGCATCTAGACTACTGTTAGCAGCTTTGGTGAAAACAAAGCAAGGGCTGCTTTTTCTTCATCAACTACACATGTAGTGCCATCACTTAGAAGGTAGAGAAAGCAATTCAGGGCCTAGACTCTGGACACAATTCTAAGCAACGACCATCTGATTTGCCACATTGAAATGATGAGAGCAGTATCATCCTATGATATACCCTAGGGCAAGGGTTCTCAAACTAGCATACTGAAGGCTCACTGGGAGAGTTTGTTATAAAAGTGCATATTTTTGGATACCACTACTAGTTTCTGATTTAATAGGTCTGAGTCTGCATTTTTGACAGGCAGGTCCAGGTGATTCTAATTCATTGGATGAAGGAGAAAACTTCGACAAATACTGGGCAAGAGTCTAAGAAATCAAATTTAAAAGGCTGTGATTCCTTTATCTAAAAGAGACTGCTCTAAAGGAATTCAACCCCTAAAAGGCAGAAGACTGCCAAAGAATAATATCCTAAGTATAAAATAAAAAACAATTCCAGTGAAATGGAGTTGCTAAGGAGGCAACAAGGTTGTGTATAATTATACAAGACACCAGGTATCAACCCTGTACCTAAGTTCTCAGATTCTACAATACAGAAGAAGAGAACTATTGAAAGTGGCATCCAGTAATCCAATATAGGAGAGCTAGTATGTGAAGCTGTAAACTCTGAAGAATTTCAGAAGAAGCATACGAGAGCATGGGAAGCCCTGGAAGCCTCCCATCCCGGGGTTGGGCGAAGCCGCTGCCTTACCCAGGCTATTGACTGAGCTAGGTACCAGGCATTCTGTGAGGCCCCAGGGGGTTAAGAAATGAATTAAATATGCTCCCCTGCCCTCTTTGAACTGAATCTAACAAGGAAACTTAAGAACTATTTTGTAATCTCTAATTATGTTTTCTGAATTTCAGTTTAAATGTTGTACTTCAATATGAGTCATACCTTTATTTATATATCGGTTTGTCTCAGCTGTGTTATGGGTTGGTGGGAGGAGACCATACATACATATATACACAGAGTACATATATGCTGTTGATATTACATGCATACACACACACCCCAAAGTGAAGTTCCATGCTCATTTTATTTAACAAAGACTAGAGAGGCCTTGTAGACAACAGCTCCCTGGAGCAGGAGCAAGCGAAACATGTTTCTGAACCATTTCTCAAGTCACACCCCACAGCCTGTCCCTGGCCAGCTTCCAGCAACCCTGCAAAGGGAAGCAAGGGTCTTGGCAGATACTAGGAGCTTAACTTTACATCACACCACAGCCCTTTTTCACGTGGGTTTTACCTCATCATTGACAAAGGACTTATACAAATATTTCCATCTAAGTCAGTAGCTTTCAAACTTGTTTGGCTATGATTTATGGCAAGAAATTCATCTGACATACTCCAATTTGGTCATCCAATTCATTTAATGTATATTTATTGTAACACTCCCAGGTGCCAGGCCCTGTTCTAGATACAGGCGGATATGTTCTCCTAGAGAAGGTAAACAATAAACAAGTAAAATATAATCAAGAGTCAGATGATAAAGCAATGGAGGAAAAACAAATGAGGGAAGGAGGACAGCAAAAGTAGGGGATAGAAAATTGGTATTTTAAACAGGGCAGCCAGTAAAGGCCCCACTGAGAACATGACATGGACTACAATCCTGCAGGAAGAGGGTGGGTAGGCCATGAGGATATCAGGGCAGGAAAAGTAAAAAGGATCAGCAAAATCAATGTGCTGGAAGTAGCCCCAGCCAAAGCATGTTCCGGTCGCATTTATGCCAGTTGTGGGCGTTAGACAAGTCACTTTCCCTTGCTGAGCCTGTTTCTTTCTTTGCAAAATGAAGATGTGCTGCTTGATCCTCTCTAGATGCCTTTTTGCCTCAAATATTTTCCAGTATCTGTGTTCTATGACCCTCTTATGTCTTATTCCAGGTAGAAGTATATATATGCGTGTGTGTGCATGCGTGTGCGTGTGCGTATTTATAGGCATATACCATAAAAATGGTGGGATAAATTTTGATAAAAATTAACACCCTAATTACTTGCAAAATGCTCTAATACTTTTCATTCTTTTCTATGCAGTTTTTTTTTTAAAATGCTGGTTATGCCCAAGTAAACTGATTCAACTAATGTTGTTATAAAACTGTTTACAGACATTGAAATCTTGGTTGTGGAGCCAAATTTCACATCAGCAAAACTACCTACTCATCCAAGAAAAAAAAAAAAAAAAAAGCTGGCTCAGTGCTGGAGGCTGCCTCTGCCCTCAGCTTTCAATACCCAGAAAACCATATGCCCACACAGTCCTGCAAAACCAGAGGAAAGGCTTAAGTGTTAAACAACTCTGGCCTCAAATCCCAGCTATGCCACTGTTTTCCTTTGACATTAAGCAAACTACATAACCACACTGAGGCTTAGGTTTCTTGTCAGTATAATGGAAATGATGATAAGGATTAAGTCATAAAATACACACAGAGTGGCTGATGAAGTATCTGGCACTTAATAGAAACTTCATAAATGGATAGTGGTGGTGAGGATGGAGGTAGAGATAAACTAGAGCAAAAAGAACAGCTTCCTCCACACAGGCCCTTAGAATCTAAAATGTTAGAGAAACAGAACTAGATATTATAAATGCCTGTAATGGTCTTAGTAATAAATGTTACAGGAGGAAGAATGTGTGTTTCCAAACTGTTTCTTTCAGTTTCTTCCCATTCCTAAACCCTCTCCTCCCTTCTTCAGCAAACTATATGGAAATGGATTTGAAGAAGTACAAAGTCATGCGTTCAATGGTACAACAGTGATTTCACTGTAAGTATTTGCTTATTTCCCCAGCTCAAGAATAAAAAATGAAATATTGCTCTTTCTACCAGATCACACTCAATCTTCAGCAACTAACTCAGGGCAATACTTTCAAGTGGCTAGCCCTCAGTGTTCATGCATGTTACTAGGCAACTGGGTGGCTGGAAACCCCAGAGCACCCTGATTTCAAAGACAGATGCAGCCTGGATACATTGAAGTTGACAGTTTACTGAAATATTCAACACCCTACTTTATGCCTCCTCCAACTCAGTGCCTCCCTCTCTAGCCCCCTCACTCAGGTTGATGGTGTGTTAGACGCAGCAGAATTTCAGAAAGAAATTCTTCCCTTAGCCCCACTGCAGAGAAATGAGAAACCACCACCATTTACTAGCCTAATCAGCCACAACAGACCCACTCAGAGAGTCCCATCTCTGTACTGCTAGTGCAAGAGGAAGCTCATTTTCCACAAGGTAGGGAGATTTGTGTTTTCACCACACCCTACTTACTTCTTCATGTTAACAGCATTTCACTCAAGAAGAGCATCGCCACTGTCTCCTTCATTGCTCTCAACCTCTCTTTCCTTCTATGGATCCTCTTCTAAGAATGGCACATTCACAAAGTTTGTGGGGCTGGGGACATTTGAACCATAGCAAGCAAAGGGTGAGGTGACAGTCACCCTACAATTTGTGCATAATAAAAACTAAGAGCACATGAAAAGTTCAATTAAAGCCAAAATTAAGGAAAATAAACAAAAGGCTTTTAAAATAATTAAGTTGTATAAACCAATGATCTGTAATAATGCTTCTCAAACTTTTACACACCTAAGAAGAAACTGCAGATTGTTAAAACAGAGATTCCTGGGCCCTACCCCCAAAAACTTTGCAGTAGAACTAGGTAGGGCCTGAGAATTTGCAGTTTTAACAAGCTTCAGGAGATGCTGATGCCGTCAGTCTAAAGTTGGGTAGCACAATTTACTACAATGTGCTATTCATTATTAATTATAGATGTCTAACCAAAGACTCTTCGTGCTATATAGTTTGGTGGCTAAGAGAATAGACTTAAGAGACAGCGATGGGGACCCAAACTCCAATTCCACTATTTAACAGCTGGTATGACCTTGAGAAAGTTACTTAACCTATCTAAGCCACAGTGTCCTCACTCATAAAATGGATCCACTAATAGGCTTCTTTTGAAGATTCCCCCCACCAAAATGAAAAGATCTGTTTCATATCCTCAGTACTTAACACAGTGCTTGGCATATAGTAGGTGCTGATTTATTATGTGCTATATAACATAATTAATTATGGGTAAACAATTAAACAAGATTATATTTTTATGTGTTTAGCACAGCATAGTAGCACATACTAAGTGTCCAAGAAATGGTAGAATTTTTAAAGTTGTTCTCCTATCATGGGTAAATTTGCCCTCATGTTCTTGTTGACTTGATGACTTAATGAAAGGTTCATTAACCAGAACCCTTAAGTTAATGAAGGGTTCAGTCTGGCCAATTGAATCGGTTTGTTTTCTGCCAAACTTAAATCAGAGTCATTTAGATAATCTCCTGGCACAGTCCTCTCAGATGCCTCATTCCATTATTCACTCAACAAATGTTTACCAAGCATCAGCTGTGTTTGAAGAACCATGCTATATTTTGAGCAGAAATGAAGATGATTAAGTCCTGGTGTTGCCCTACAGGAGCTTACAGCCTAGGAGGAAGCATCTCCAAATGGTGTATAAACTGCACATTAAGTACTAACTAAAACAGAAGGCAAAGCATGAAGCCTTCCAAGAGAGAGGTGAAGTCCTCTGGGATTTCAAAGGCAAGAAGAAAGGAAATTATAGAAAGCCTCTGAGAAAGGGGGTCTTTGAGCTGGGCATAACTTAGGCAAAAATAGAGGGAAAATGCCTTCCAAGCAGAAGACAGCAAGAAGAATGGTCCAGAGGAGGAAGTATAGGATGTATTCATAGACCATCAAATAGTACTTTCTAGATGTGAGTTAGGGACAAAACAGGAAGGGCTTTAGATGCCACGGTAAAGAGTTTAGACTCTTTTGCAGAAAATGAGAAGCCGTTGAAAGTTCTGAGATGGAAATATGAGGAGTGCTTAAAGAAGGTTCATCTGTGAGTAGGACGGATGGAAGGCTGGAAGGGATAGGGCAGGGCTGGAGACGCAAATGCCAGGGTCATCTCAACAGAAGGGATGGCTGAAGTCCTGTGTGGATGAGGTTACCTGAACAGGGGAAAAATAAGAGAACTTAATACTAAATTAAAGGGAAACAAGATGAACAAGAGAAGCAAGAGCAAAATAAAAGAGATGGGAGGAAAACCAACATAGTATGTCTGTGTGAGGTCAGGAAAAACAGAAATTTAGGAGGGAAGACTTCAGGTGGTCAGCAGAATTTCAGCTGTTACAGAGACGCCAAAATGGGTATGAACGGTGAAAATTCCAATTCGTCAACATACTGTATACCCCGTATCTCACTGCTGCAAGAAAGAGGAAACCAAGAACATGAGTCAGTTTGCCAAGAACAAACTTCATTTCATTCAACAAACATTTATTAAGCACCACTGACATACTAAGCACTGTGTTAGGTACTGAGTCTGTGATGGTAGAGCGGACACAGTCCCTGCCCTTATGAAGTTTCTCTTCTATCGGAAGAGACAGACAAAAAAAGCAATAAATAATAGATGAAATTATTATAAGAGTAATATATAGTATGAAGGAAATAACCCACTAGTGAGATCTGAGAGAGTATGAGGGGTGACCAATTTAGGCAAGGTACTCAGGATGGCCTCACCGAGGACATGATATTTAGGCTGAGCCTGAAGGATGACCAGGGTTCCGCTGTGGCAACAGTGAGGGGGGCAGGCTACAGAAAGAGGAAGCAGATGTGCAAAGGTCCTGAGTTGAAAGGAACTAAGTTGGTAAGTTCCAGTAATTAAGAGGAGGCCAGTGTGGCTGGAGGGTCTTTAGCAAGGGAGTGACTGGTGATGGAGGAGATGGAGCAGGATTGAGCAGCCACGGGAAAGGAGTCTGAATTCTCTTCCAAGGACAAGGCCACCCATTGAAGAGTTTAAGCAGGGAGGGAGGAGCAGTTTTCAAAACTGTCAAGCAAAATGGTCAAGCTATACATTCAGCCCTTCCTCATAAATAGACCTGTTCAAAATTGTTCAGAACACAATGATACTGAAGTCCTGCAAAGTTCGCAAACACCTAACTTACTAAGCAGCAGGGGAAAGACAGGAGCAGTCCCAGAAGGTTGCCCTGAGGTATCCGAGGGGTCTGGGAGTCAGTGTCTGCTGTTTCCAGAGTACCCAGCTGGGAAAGTTGTGATGGCGCTTGTGGATTCTTCCACTGTGCTTCGAAAGGTCATCCTGCATGTGTGTCTCACACCAGTAAGGTCACATCATTGGGAGAATTCTCAAAAGTGACCCCCAGGAAAAGGGGGGAAATGGATTTATTTTTTGACCAAGTTACGTTAATACAGAGTTATCAGTATACAGAAAGATCTGGGTTTTAATAAAATATGTGAAATACTCTGTCTGAAATTTGAACAATTAGTCTGACTGGGCTGACACAAGAATAATTTTCTCACAGAGCCCAGTTTCCATGATTTATAACTATAACTGAACATAATTAAAACAAACCAAATCAGGAAGAAGAGCCATGGAGGTTTAGGAAGAAAAATTTCTTTTGATTTAGATTTTAAACAGCAATTGACTCTGACAACCTCATCTCTCTGAAAGTGGAAATACACCCAGGGGATGGGATAATGTGAGACTGAGAGGTGCATTCTGATGAAATGGCTGAGGGTTTCCAAAGAAAATGCTTAGTAGAAACGTGGAAAACAGCCACCCAGAGAGTGAGATGCAAGGGCTTTTGCAGTTCTTAAATGGCAAGGGGGTGGGGAATGGGTGTCACTGTGTTTGCTCTGCTGTGTATACTGTAATGGTGGTAAGAGAATCATGTTCCTATGCTTGAAATCATCACACCGATGATACAGGCATACTGTGCCCACCATTCGGGGTATTTCAGATGCTCTGTGAGTCACGACCATTCTCTTACAGAGAGGAGGTGCTCAGAAGAAGGCTGGCAGGCGTAAGCCCAGGGATTCCTCGTCTAGCTCCCTCGACTACCCAGAGAAGGGCCTGTGCTTGGAGATACCAGTGTCAGGGGCCAGACCGGAGGCTGCCTAGCAGGACCAGGATGTGCTGCTCCTAAGAAGTTTAGCTTGAATGACTTTGAGCTAAAGGCAGCAGAGCCCTCAGGGAGCTTCTTCCATAACAGCTTTTGGCTTCTTCCACAGCCTTGAGAGTAGTGGCCCTCAATACTTTTGTTTCCATGACTCACACACACACCTGGTGATGATCATTTACACTGCACAGCCCCATGGGACACTCAGGTTCTGGGGTAATTTTCTACGGATGAGCAAGAGAAGCAGGGCAAAATAAAACAGATGGGAGGAAAACCAACACGGTTTGTCTGTGTGAGGCCAGGAAAAAAGGGATAACTTTCAACGAACCCTACTTTTTCAAGTATTTGCAAACTTCAGTATATTACTATTAGCACACTCTGAGACATCCAAGGTCACAATGGCTGAGAGGCTAACAAAGAGCAGGCTGCACTTCAGCCCTTCGGCCTTGGCCTCTTGGAGCAGCATTTTCATCCTTACCCAGCTGCCTGGTGGTAAACTTTCAGAACTCCAAGACAGGAGCGGGTGAGTACTTTAAGCTGTAGAAAAGAATTCTACCAAGTGAGGAGAGAATGGAAGAAAAAAAGATGTGGCCAAACACACATGCCAGCAATTTCGTAATTTCATCAAGGACTAGCGTGTCTTTCTTCCACTCTCCCTCCACTTCCCCCTTTCTTCCCTTCTAACCCTATATACCATGCACATAGTTTGATCTAAACATGTGTAGACGCAGCTGTGAATGCTTACACATGAGGTACAAACTCCACTAAGGAAAATGTCCTTCCCTACAGGGTACTAAAGGAAAATGTACATCTGGAGAGGATACACAATGGAGCCTTCCGTGGGGCCACGGGGCCCAGCATCTTGTGAGTAGAGGGGTGCTGCCTCCCCTCCTTGCCCAGTGCACCCCAACAGGACTGCTTAGGGCATCCCTCCATGTCAACCCCAGGCTGATAGGTGGGGCATCAGTCTCTACACCTGAAAAGGCTGCTGTTGGAAAGACCAAGTGTATCACCCCAAACTGAGAGGCTTAAACAACAGAAATTTCGTCTTACAGTTCTGGAAGCTAGATGTGCAAAATCCAGGTGTCAGCAGGGGTTGGCTCCCTCTGAGGGCTGTGAAGGAAGTGTCTATTCCAGGCTTCTCTTTGCTCGTGCTAGCCCTTTCTAGTTGTGGCAACATAACTCCAATCTTCACATGGTAGTGTGTGTGTGTGTGTGTGTGTGTGTGTGTGTGTGTACAAATTGCAACCTCTTTTTTTTTTTTTTTTTTTGAGATGGAGTCTTGCTCTGTCAACCATGCTGAGTGCAATGGCGCGATCTCGGCTCACTGCAACCTCTGCCTCCCGAGTTCAAGCAATTATCCTGCCCCAGCCTCCCAAGTAGCTAGGATTACAGGCACCCACCACCATGCTCAGCTAATTTTTTGTATGTTTAGTAGAGACAGGGTTTCACCATGCTGGCCAAGCTGGTCTCGAACTCCTGACCACATGATCCACCTGCGTCGGCCTCCCACAGTGCTGGGATGACAAGTGTGAGCCACCATACCCAGCCCAAATTGCCCCTTTAATAAGAATAGCAGTCATATTGGATTAGAGCCCACCCAATAATCTCATTTTAACTTCAATACCTCTGTAAAGACCCTATCTCCAAATAAGGTCTCAGGTACTGGAGACTTCAAGATACGAACTTTTGGATTGTGGGACACAATTCAACTTATAACATCAAATATGGGTGGGGAGTGGCCTCATGTGCTGGCAGAGAGGCTGGCTACCCACCTGGAATCCACTCATGGAAATCTAAGGCCAGAGATCTGGCTTGCCCATGGCAATTGGCTGGACAGGGCTGAACTGCTGTCAGACTCTCTGAGGGTGCGACGATTAGGGCCAGGCTCTCTCAGTCAAAAGGGGTTTAAAGGACATATGGGAAAGTTAGGAGGAACAGAACATGGAATCTGACAAAGCCTTGAGAAGCCTGAAACCTCCAACATCCTGCAGAGACCTGAAGCTGCAGTCAGGCTTTAGGGAGAAATGCAACAGAGTTCCAGATTCTGCACTGCTCTAACACAGAGCAACCAGTTACCCCATCACAGAGGCGGCAGTCCACGACGCCCTACTCTAGCAGCTGTTATTTATCCAACAAACATTGATTGAACCTATCCTATGTACCAGGCACTGTTGTGAACAGACAGTAGTAAGCAGAATAGCCCTGGTCCTTGCCCTTAACAAGATGACAGTCACATAAGGGAGACAACAGCAAACCGGCAAAGCAATAAACAGGCATGTCATTTTACAACATACAAAAGTTCTAGAAAAATGGTGAGCAAGGCAACCCACTTCATTTGTTTGTTTATTCATCCATTTATTCACTAACTTATGAACCCACTTATGTGGTAGTCACTGGATTAGCATCAGGGAAATGGCAGAGAATGAGAAGAGACAAACACTTCTGCCTTCATAAAAAGGGGAATATAGACACAGATCGAATAGGTAAATAAAATATGTAGTGGTCCAACTGCTATTGGTTGTAGGGGGGAAAACTCATTCCCTAGAGGGAGAAATTGCCTTTTTAAAGGGGATGGTGAGGGAAGACTATCCTGAAAAAGTGTCATTTGAATGAACACCTAAAGGAAGCAAGTTATGTGATTATCTGCAGGTAAAGTGTTCCAGGAGGGGGAACAGCAAAAGCAAAGGTCTGAGACAGGATCTTACATTGTGTATTTGAAGAACAGTAAGGAGGCCAATATGGCACAGTGAGCAAAGAAGAGAATCATAGAATATGAGGACAAAGCTGTGGCAGAGAGTTGGACCATGGTGTGGCGGAGGTGGGGGTGCTGTGGTCACTATATGGACTTTGTCTTTTCTTTAAGTGAGATGGGGAGGCCTTAGAGTTTTGAGCAAGGGAAGGAAATGAACTGTCCTGGTTATTCTTCATACTGTAGAACCTGCCACGATCAACTCATGGCTCTGTCTACTTTCTATTTCCACCACTATAAGACCCAAAGTCTGTCTACTTCCTAGCTCCTGCCCCTCTCAGCCTCACTCTATTTCCTAACTCCTTCCTGCTATCCACTTTTGACTGTCTACTTCCTGTTCTTGCCACCACTGAGCCTGACTGTGCTAGTTCCTAGCTCCCACTGTCAACTCCTGACTTCATCTATTTCCTAGCTCCTGCTACTGTCCAGTTCTCACTGTCTACTTCTTAAGTCCTGCCACTATACTTCCTAACTCCTGCCATTAAAATTCCTACATCTTTCTGCTTCCTAACTTCTGCCACTGTCAATCCTAACTCCCTCTAATCTCCACTCAACCTCATAACTTCTGTTTACTTACGACTTCCACTATTTTGTGGCTCCGCCCACTGCTTTCTCTGCTCTCAACTTCTGGCAACTTTATCCCAGGAGTCTTTTTCTGTATGTCTCATATTCAAAGTATAACAGACTCCAAATCATGTAGGTTGGCTAAACACTCTCCAGTTTAGCACATCCTGTAGGCAGAGCTGTAACAGCAAGCTGGCCTTCTGCTTGGTCACTAGGAAAACAAAGAGAGCTCCCTCTGGCTCAGGTACAAAACACAATAAAGTCACTGTGTTCCCAAGACCTCTGCATGACAGTATTTGCTTAAAGGGCTTCTTATCAGCTGCTTAGAAGTGACCGTGGGCACTACAGACCCCTACACTCTCATGTCCAAAACAGTAGCACCAGACCCAGGTCTCTTCTTTCCCAAGAGGTTGTTCTCATTATATTCCTAAGATTTGAATCATATCTGAAAGCATCCACTCCACCATCACTCAAAAAGTATTTCCCCCATCCACTAGTCTGTCATTAAGACTGAAAACCAACTATCAGAGGTTCACTGCCTTGTAATGACGCCATACCATTTCTAAGAACCTAATTTTAAATGCACTCACTCAAAAGACAAAAAATCCACCAGATCTTCAAAAAGTCCCGTGCTCAAGCCCTGAGATAAACACCCTATAAAGCAGAATGAGAACCCTGGTTACCTAATCAACAGGGACACAAAAGCAGAGAAGTCTGAAGCCCCTGGGCCAAATTTTGCTCCTTAATTTTTCCACTGAGGACCTATACCATCATCACTCCATGTTGTCAAATTCATCTTCCATCAACCACCTATTGGTCCCCACCATGCGCTGAGCACCACATCTTGGGGACAATTGCTGAGGGGACCGATGCTGCTGGAAAAGTTTCGTGGGGCATCAGCAGCAGCCACTTAGAAGATGAGCACAATTGTTTAATTTCCATTGACTCTTCCTTCTCCTAACATTTAATGTGTTAGGAATTTTCTTGGACGTTGCCTCAAGTCTAGTAAAACCAAAGGGTTCAGGACGTTGTTGACAAAGCCTGAGCTTTCCACACAGTTCTGCTTGCAAGGCTGAGTGTTTGCTTGCTTTGAACAGATGAATCAAGTTTGCATTAGAGCACATGCATTCGGTTCCTAGGTAGATGATGGCTAATGCCACACAGCAGCTGTTTTTAAGGTAACCAGCCTATGCTTCATGAAAACCTCTCCTGCAGGGCTTAAACAATCAAAGACTGAAGCATCTGAAGCCCTGAATAATTCTCCCTGGGGTAGAGCACAAAAGTTGATGTAACTGCATGTGCTGGCTGTCTCATAAAGCAAGTGATTATTTCACTTCTGCTAAGTGGAGAGAAGTAGAGGAAGAGAGAGGGTGGGGTAAAGGAGTTGGAAGAGGTGAGAGAGAGAGAAATGCTAATGTATGGTAGGTACGAGGAGTTATACTTAACCTTGAAAAAAATAATGAGATGCACATGAGAAAAAATACAGAATCGCCTTTTTGAATTCAGATCTTAGTGAGAGTAATTGAAATGGAGAATTAAAGGAAAAGCAGAATGAAGAAAAGATTTCTCAGAGCCTAAAACGATACTATTGTTGAGGGAGGTTCCATTCTCTAAATAAAATGTATAAGATAAATAAATAAAAAGCATTTCTCCCCTTTATTATTCAGGGATATTTCTTCCACCAAATTGCAGGCCCTGCCGAGCCATGGCCTAGAGTCCATTCAGACGCTAATTGCCACGTCATCCTATTCTCTAAAAAAATTGCCATCGAGAGAAAAATTTGCCAATCTCCTGGATGCCACGCTGACTTACCCCAGCCACTGCTGTGCTTTTAGAAATGTGCCAACAAAAGAGTAAGTAAAAAATAAAAGTTAAAGCCTGCCCAAGCTGTGGCAGAGATTCAGATTTTGAAATAGTCAGTGAGTAGACGGTTCCATTCCCCTTCACTCCCGGCTTCTCGGCCAGCTACATAGACATAGGATCACTTTGAGATAGATAAAAAGAAAACAAACTCTTCTGTTTACTTGTGAAAACTGCTGCCAAATAGTTGATTCACTATACAGCTAGAAGACCTTTGTGGCCAATTCTGGGTAAACTGAATTAGAGGGCACTTTAGCATTTGCAGAATAGAATACAAAACTGGCTTCTCAAATGATTCGTTCTAATCCTTATCAGGAAGCATCATTTTTTTTCATACATATATTTTATTGAACTTTAAGTTCTGGGGTACATGTGTAGAACATGCA